GCAGTGTCTCAAATACTTGTTCTCCCCACTGTAGTATGTATGGGCTGGAAGTAGAGGCCTAAGCGTTGTTGTTCACTAGTTTACTCCAATTGGGGAAGGGGTGGTGGGGTTGGAAAGTAATGAAGGGAAATATAATTTAAAAAAGGATATGTGTGTCTGTGTATGGATGTATGTATATATATATGTATGTATGTATGAATGTATGTATACAGTGGGGAAAAAAAGTATTTAGTCAGCCACCAATTGTGCAAGTTCTCCCACTTAAAAAGATGAGAGAGGCCTGTAATTTTCATCTTAGGTACACGTCAACTATGACAGACAAAATGAGGGAAAAAATCCAGAAAATCACATTGTAGGATTCTTTATGAATTTATTTGCAAATTATGGTGGAAAATAAGTATTTGGTCAATAACAAAAGTTTCTCAATACTTTGTTATATACCCTTTGTTGGCAATGACACAGGTCAAACGTTTTCTGTAAGTCTTCACAAGGTTTTCACACACTGTTGCTGGTATTTTGGCCCATTCCTCCATGCAGATCTCCTCTAGAGCAGTGATGTTTTGGGGCTGTCGCTGGGCAACACAGACTTTCAACTCCCTCCAAAGATTTTCTATGGGGTTGAGACCTGGAGACTGGCTAGGCCACTCCAGGACCTTGAAATGCTTCTTATGAAGCCACTCCTTCATTGCCCGGGCGGTGTGTTTGGGATCATTGTCATGCTGAAAGACCCAGCCACGTTTCATCTTCAATGCCCTTGCTGATGGAAGGAGGTTTTCACTCAAAATCTCACGATACATGGCCCCATTCATTCTTTCCTTTACACGGATCAGTCGTCCTGGTCCCTTTGCAGAAAAACAGCCCCAAAGCATGATGTTTCCACCCCCATGCTTCACAGTAGGTATGGTGTTCTTTGGATGCAACTCAGCATTCTTTGTCCTCCAAACACGACGAGTTCAGTTTTTACCAAAAAGTTATATTTTGGTTTCATCTGACCATATGACATTCTCCCAATCCTCTTCTGGATCATCCAAATGCACTCTAGCAAACTTCAGATGGGCCTGGACATGTACTGGCTTAAGCAGGGGGACACGTCTGGCACTGCAGGATTTGAGTCCCTGGCGGCGTAGTGTGTTACTGATGGTAGGCTTTGTTACTTGGTCCCAGCTCTCTGCAGGTCATTCACTAGGTCCCCCCGTGTGGTTCTGGGATTTTTGCTCACCGTTCTTGTGATCATTTTGACCCCACGGGGTGAGATCTTGCGTGGAGCCCCAGATCGAGGGAGATGATCAGTGGTCTTTTATGTCTTCCATTTCCTAATAATTGCTCCCACAGTTGATTTCTTCAAACCAAGCTGCTTACCTATTGCAGATTCAGTCTTCCCAGCCTGGTGCAGGTCTACAATTTTGTTTCTGATGTCCTTTGACAGCTCTTTGGTCTTGGCCATAGTGGAGTTTGGAGTGTGACTGTTTGAGGTTGTGGACAGGTGTCTTTTATACTGATAACAAGTTCAAACAGGTGCCATTAATACAGGTAACGAGTGGAGGACAGAGGAGCCTCTTAAAGAAGAAGTTACAGGTCTGTGAGAGCCAGAAATCTTGCTTGTTTGTAGGTGACCAAATATTTATTTTCCACCATAATTTGCAAATAAATTCATTAAAAATCCTACAATGTGATTTTCTGGAAATTTTTTTCTCAATTTGTCTGTCGTAGTTGACGTGTACCTATGATGAAAATTACAGGCCTCTCTCATCTTTTTAAGTGGGAGAACTTGCACAATTGGTGGCTGACTAAATACTTTTTTTCCCCACTGTATATATATGTGTGTGTGTGTGTGTGTGTGTGTGTGTGTGTGTGTGTGTGTGTATGTATTTGTATATGTGTATGTGTATGTATGTATGTATGTATGTATGTATGTATGTGTATATATATATTTGCGAGAAAAAATACATATGGGGGATTGGAAGTGATGCAGACAATTACATTGATGGAAGTTACAATCTATCTGAAATATTAAAGCTGATCTACCCCAAAAAAAAAAAAAAAAAAAAGAGGTTTTCATAACATGCTGTTTTTGTGGATATGAAAATGTCGAATCCGGTCCAAACCTTGTTAGAAGGGACCTTACTGCTTTCCAAACCTTCCCTACTCCTAAGTCCCCTTCTCAGTTAGAGTCGTAGCATGATGACCTCAGCACTTCCTGATAAGCCTCTCTATGCTGTGATGTCATAAAAGAAAGCCCCATAGAGATCCGATTAAATTAATTAGTATTCTAATTCCTAATTCTAAGGAAAGCCCCCTCTAGAATGTTCTCTACAATGTTCTCCTTAGTTCTTTAGTTCCACATGGGAAGGATCATCATGTTCCCTTGGTTTTACTCTCTACCCTTCTTCTCCTTTCTAACTTGTTTAATAACCCAAGTTACTGAACTCGGAAAGCCACTGACCACATATTATACAGCAGTTGATGTCAGGGTAGGGCAGCGTGTTACATAGAAATAGAGAGGGTGTAGTGAGGTTGGAAATTAGAGTTCTTTGACTGATATATGGATAATGAATACATTCCATTGAATGTCTGCAAAGTCAATATTTGAGTGAACACAATCAGCATTTGTGTGTGGAACCCTTTCATGTGTCTCATTCTTTTATTTCACATTTACATTTTAGTCATTTAGCAGACGCTCTTATCCAGAGCGACTTACCTGGAAATAAACCTATTTGGAAACCTGTCTTGTCTCGTATCGCTGGGGTAGTTTGATCTGTCACTGTCTCTCCAGTTCTTTACCCTTCTATTCGTTCTTTGCTCAAACTCTTTTTGTTCCTTTTTTACAATGCATTGCATATTCAGAAGAGGCAGCATGTAGGTATCTTAAAATGACACGCATTTTATCTCCCTGGCTGCATGAATCACCCTTTACTTTCTGTTTCTTTACTTTTTAACTTTTCTCTTGGTTCTGCTCTTTGTTTGAAGTATTTCTGTGTTGTTTTATTAAATGCAAAGCACTCTATATCTTAGTATAAAGAAGTAGTCATTAATTTGTGGAAGTTTCATTTTCTTTTTTTCTCATATGAGAAATTTGTACTGAGTATATGGAGTATTTGTACTGTATGTTCTCAGTACTAGTAATATGAGCTAATATTACCATGAATACTTTGATTTATTTTTACAGACAGAGTTGTGTGTCTCTAGATATCTTGATTAACTCGAGATTTTCTTACATTCTCTGTTTCTGTTTTTGTATTTGTGTTCTTGTTCTAGTCTTTTAAGTTTTCAGTTCCGTGACTTGACTGATGTTCCATCCTGCTCATTCCCCTCCTCTCCTCCCTCCTCTCCTCCCTCCTCTCCTCCCTCTTCTCCTCTCCTCTCCTCCCTCCCCTCCTCTCCTCTCCTCCCTCCCCTCCTCTCCTCCCTCCTCTCCCTCCCTTGCTCCTCCTGTCTTCCATGTGTTTTGTGTGGCTGCATGGTCTGGTTTTTGCACGTTGATGTAGCTTTCAACGATACACATAATATTTAATATCATTCTGTCTCTCTTTCTTTCTCTCTTTTCTTCCCCATTTTCTTTCCCGTCTGTTCTCTCTTTAGGGGACGTACTCTTTCAGATGGCTGAGGTCCACAGACAGATCCAGATGCAGCTTGAAGATATGGTGAGAAGAACACAGGACAATGATCAGGATGATGATGATGAAGAAAGCTTTTTGTCTCTTACAATTGCTCTGGCATCTCAACTCTAGGATCATCCAATCACGATCTATACCAGGAGCTAACTAAGTGTTTAGCTAATCCTTGTTTTAAAGCCAATGCCTGAAAATATGAAGATACTGTGAAATGCTTGTATCAAAGGAACAGAGCTCTACTACGCACACACGACCAATGGACTACTGCCTGCTTAACTATTGTTTTTATACACACTTACATCTCGCCTGTTCCTGCTCTTTCAGCACACAGCCAACTAATAGATGTTAAGAAAATATTATTGCTTCAGACTACTAAGACAAAAAGAGAAGAAAAGAGACCAAATGGCTTTGATACAGCCTGTGCAGTGCACTACTTTTGACCAGGGCTCATAAGCTTTGTTAAAAAAATAGTGCACTTTATAAGTAATAGGGTGCCATTTGGGACACAGTGACTTTAAGGGCCCTTTAGAAAGAGCAGTACTCCAAGGCAGACCGAAGGGGCCTTTCTTGTTTTTATTAATTAGAGCCAGTGTGTGAGGATTCCCTCAGTCATCTGAAGACATCACCTCAGCATGTGTTCATCTGGGACGTTTCATTATTTAGAGGCACCATTGATTTAGTTGTTTGTAGTTTGTTTTCAGTACCGCCTGGTCTGGGGCTGGAGATAACTCTGCTATTTGTCTCGATCGACGCAAAAGTAAATTGTGAACATACATACTCTTAGAAGAAAGGGTTCCTAAAGGGTTCTTCAGCTGTCCCCATAAGAGAACCCTGTTTGGTTCCAGGTAGAACACTTTTTGGTTCCATGTAGAACACTTTTGGATTCCATGTAAAATTATAATCCTCTGTGTAAAGGGTTCTACATGGAACTCAAAAGGGTTCTACCTGGAACCAAAAGGGTTCTACCTGGAACCAAAAAGGGTTCTTCAAAGGGTTCTCATATGGGGACAACCAAAGAACCCTTTTAGGTTCTAGATAGCACCTTTTTTTCTAAGAGTGCACATGCGTGTGTTCACACACATATAAATAACCTCAATATTGGCATGAATTTAGACATAATTCACATACCGGTACTATACAATCCTTAATCCTTTGAGTTTGTCAGTTCCGATGTCAAGACAAACTTGTCTCTAGAAGTCATGTTGACACCACAACACGTGCTGACAGCCAGCCAGACTAGTTGGATGTTTTTAAAAACAAACAAGTCTGGTTTGGAAGTTGAGAAAGTAACAACCTGAGGCAGGTTCTATTCCTATCTGTGTTTATGATGAGATGTGTGGGTGTATCTTATGTTATCATTAACACTTCGGGGTCCTTTCTGTCCTCCAGCTGAAGTCGTTCCACAATGAGCTTTTGACAGAGCTGGAGAAGAAGGTGGAGCTGGATGCACGTTACCTGAATGTGAGTGTCCTCCTAGGAACGGCCATTCATTGTTGTCTCCCATTCATTCACTTCAGTAACTCTCCTTGTTGTTTAGCACCTTCTAAATGCACCTTTAGGTGTGTTCTCACCTTCACTCTGTGGTAAGGGTTATAGGTTGACGGCCCTTACAAATATCGCTTATTTTGACCTATAATTACCCGTAGTTACTAGTTGTGTTCTCACGACAGCATTCATTTCATTTTAGTTCAGTTTTACACGATGCCTCTATATAGTTCTGTGTCAGTGTTGTGTGTATTCTGAAGGGAAGGCCTCATTAACAAAGAGTTGAAGCAGACTAGTGCTTTTAACTGTATTTCACGTCAGCTAGCTAGGCCTCCTTATGGATCAGCAGAAACCAGGATAGGATCCACATTCTCATCAAATCATCAGTTAAAGACAAACTCCACAGCTTTCTGAGCACTTCTTTTAATTTCCCCCAGGTTTTAATCATAACCACTCTGCAATAAAGTTACATGAATTACTTTCCTCTCATACTTTCCACTCCATGAATTCCTGGGTATTACCCATTTTAGGAAAATAAGAAGACGTAGAAGTTGGAGTTTTAATTAAGCGATAAACACATTTCTAGAGATAATTGAAGAGTGTTGGATTTGTTTCTTGATGTTCTCGCTCTTTCAAAGCTTTCCCAGACAACTTCTGTGGAATTGGGAATCTTAAATAAAGGCCTACTATGAATGTCATCCCAATGAAGCATCTCTTTAAATGAAAGTGTAATTGCTGGATGCTCACAAAATAAAATCTGTACCAGAGTCACTAATATAATAATACTGTAGCCTCTATTTGAAATTCATATTGACCTCATCAGTTCATTTGAGGCCGTGTTTGGCAGGCTGGCATATGGTGCCCTGTTCTTTCTCTCTCTCTCTCTCTCTCTCTCTCTCTCTCTCTCTCTCTCTCTCTCTCTCTCTCTCTCTCTCTCTCTCTCTCTCTCTCTCTCTCTCTCTCTCTCTCTCTCTCTCTCTCTCTGCTCTGCACCGTTAATTCAGCATTGACAAAAGTAATTAGCCACGCTCAGCTAGGTTTTTCCATCAGACAGGGTTGGATTAATGGGAAGAGAGAGGGATGGGAGGATAGAAGGACAGAGGGATAGAGGGATAGGAGGAGAGAGAGATAGCATAATCAGCCAAGTCCCTATGATGCCAGACCAAGCCATTCCCTTGCATTATGTTATATTGCATCAATCAGTAAATAAAAGGTGGTCAGGTGGTTTGAAATGCGACCAAATAAATAACTAAAATGGTAGAACACTAGTCTAGGGTAGCCAATGACTGTATACACAATAAAAAATGCTAGTTAGTACCCAAACATTTTTTGTTTCATTTTGTCCCTGTAGGGGAACACTCTTTGGGCTGTGGAGAACCTTTTGATATCGGTTCTTTGGATAACCCTTTGTATAACAATTTGTATAATTGTGGACGGTTATACCAGGAACCAGAGGGTTCTTCATTACACTGTTAAATATTTCCCAGCTACTGGTAAGGGACAGTACGCTTCTTTATTCAGATTACTTAGGAGTTACCCTCACTTGGGATTTGAACTCACAACCTCTTGTTTGCTAGCAACCTGAATTTCCTGCTACACCACTGGGTGTGTGGGTATGATAGAGATTAATAAAGATTAGAACCAGTAGAAATTATTTCATTTGTCCCTATGAGGGATCCCTTTTGGGTGCTACGTAGAACCCTTTGATTTTTTTTTAACCCTCTCACAAGGAACCCTGGTTGGTTCTTTGTTTTGTCCCTGTAGGGGAACCCTTTTGGGTTCTATGTAGAACCATCTCATGAAGAATCCACTGGTTCCAGGGTTCTGTTATTTGTCCATATGGGGGAACCCTTTTGGGTGCCCCGTAGAACCCTTTAATTTGTCGCTGTGGGGGAACCCGTTTGAGTTCCATTTAGAACCCTCTCATGAAGAACCCTCTGGTTCCAGGTAGAACCAAATACAGGTTCTACTGTTATACTTAGAGGATACTTCAGATGCACTTATGGCACACACTGTTAAAAATGACCTGTAATTTGGCATTATGTTACCAGCTACTGAGTTGCAGTAAAAATAAGTTATTGTAATTTTACATGGTAAGTATTACAGTAAAATCGTGTAAATATTATTATGTTCATGTTGTCAGATTGGACTTGATTCTGGGCAACTTTTAGCAAAATGCAGAAATGTATTCTTGCCATTAAATCTTTCATGGCCACAGCTTTTGTGGCATAGCAGGAAAATGTCTGGTTGCTGCAACCAAGCGGTTGTGAGTTCAAATCCCAGGTGAGGTTTAATCCCAAGTGTGCTCACAGTAAATCCTTTTACAAGATTTTACTATATTACTTATCCTGTAAAATTACAGTAACTTACGGCTACTGAGTTGCAGTAACAATACAGTAAATGTCATAATTTAAATAGAGTGTACTATAATCAGAATACAGCAGCATACTGTCATTTTACAGCAATAACAACTACAAGTTTTTGAATATTTACTTTATTTTTATTGCAACTTTTAGCAAAGCGCAGAATTTTTGGGGGGGCCAATTAATCTGCAGCCAATCTTTATCATGCCCAAAGACCTGGTGGGGGTAGCAGGAAATTCAGGTCATTAAATCAAGTATATTCCCAATTAATCAGCATTCAGTAGCATACTGTCCTTTTACAGCAATAACACCTTAATTCAGCTGTAAAAATGCAGTATCTTGTTGTTGTTTAAAGTACTTTTACTGCAACCAGTAGCCGGTAGTGTACCATAAAGTTACAGGAACTTTTTAACAGTTTAGCATTTCATGGAATAAAATAAAAACATTTCGGAGAGGGGAAGAACAGGATGGTTCTTCACAACTATCACAGCAGTAAATAACCCTTCCTGATACGCAAAGGAAAATGGTTACCCATATCACCCTCAGTCCTGACGAAGAACCCCTCAATAACCTTTTTTTCCTGTGTAGAGCTGTTAAAACTGAATCTTTACTCCCCCTACAGGCGGCTCTGAAGAAGTACCAGATGGAGCACAAGAGTAAAGGAGAGAGTCTGGAGAAGTGTCAGGATGAACTGAAGAAGCTACGCAGGAAGAGCCAGGGCAGCAAGAACACCTCTAAGTACGGAGACAAGGAGATGCAGGTGAGTGACTGGGGGAGGAGGGAGGAGACTGTGGGGGAGGCAGGGGGGTGTGAGGGGGGGAGAAGGTGTGTGTGTGTGTGTGTGTAACCCAAAGGACCTCAGGTTTGTATTGCTACTGTGACTGAACAGACAGACTGGGTCCCTAGTCAGCCTAGAGATGATGCAGTGCCAGCTGGTGGGTCAAAAGATCACCGTAGGGGAAGGTGGTGAGGACACTGCTACTGACTCTGAGCCAGAGAAATATCATACTATTGGCCACAGCCAAGCAGGTGTCGGAGATAGGTAGCCGATCAAATCCAAGAGGGGATTTAGGCTGAGCAAGTCTCTTATGGTCCCTTTCACTGAAGCAGAACACTTTGTCCATGACTAAAATGTAAAACTTGTAGTGTATTTGAGGTTTAAAAGGCTTCTGAAGTTTGTAATTTCCACTTTTAAATTTCAGACTTGATTTTCCCTTACGAAAAATTTATAAACTATTACAAAGGTGTCCATTTATTATAATCCACATAATAATTCACATTTCCTGTTGCTGCAGGATTATTTGGCTCAAATTAAGATCCTACATCTGTAGCTCTGTGACTGTGACTTGTGCTGATGTGCTGTTCTGCTACTGACTGGAGGGGTAACGCCTGGATCACATCGACAGCGTCATTGCATTTTGGTATACCAGAAGTACATTCATTTTCATGGAACACTGCGTTTGCCTTGCAGCATTGCATTGCAGAGGCTGTTGCAGTGTGTTCTTTGTTCTGTGGATATAACCAACATATGCATCAAATTGTATGTGTAGACTTGACATAAATGGTAGCAAAAGGTAAATGTTGAACATTTGTTGAACACATATCCAGTAAAAACGTTGGATTACATAATGAAAAATTTTGACTGCAGAATCTATTACGCATCATTGATGCAATGACGCTGTTGATCTAATCGAGGCGTAAGGGAGGTTCCCTCTATTGGGCCCGGGGACTGTGGGACTCGTCTTGACCTTGCCTCAGACCGCCTAGAGCCAAGCTCACGGAGAAGAGAGAGTGGGGGGGGGGAGAGAGAGAGACAGAAAGAGAGACAGAGAGAGAGAGAAAGAGTGAGAGAGGGAGAGAAAGCGGGAGAGAAGGCGAGAGAGAAAGCAAGGGAGAGGGGGCTGCAGGGGGAGAGGCAGACTGATTTGAATGTAATGGGAATGTCACTGGTCTGCTGCCAACCCAGGAAATGGGAAATAGGAAATAGCTAATAGCTTCTGTGTTACATAACATATCAATTGGGTGTTAGATGAGCAGTGGTACATCAGTATTCATCCTGGTTTAACACCACGGTTTTCTCTCATTCCCATTTTTTTACCGATATATTTTTATTTATCGTATTGCATTTGGTGTGTGCCTGCATTAGATTTGTACAGGATTTATATTACACAGTCTTCTCTGATTCCAATTTATTTATTCAGTTGTCAGTTCAAAAATGCAACTGCCAACTTATTAAAATTGAAGTTGCATGATTGCTTGAGAATCCATTGGTTTGACATCAGAGAGATGAGTGGGAGGTACATTTATTGTAAATGTATTCTGTAGCTAAGGGCAGTAGGTTTCCCTTTGTTGAGACAGACACTGGAGATGAGTGATATCCTTATCCTTCTGTCTGTCTGTCTGTCTGTCTGTCTGTCTGTCTGTCTGTCTGTCTGTCTGTCTGTCTGTCTGTCTGTCTGTCTGTCTGTCTGTCTGTCTGTCTGTCTGTCTGTCTGTCTGTCTGTCTGTCTGTCTCTCTCTCTCTCTCTCTCTCTCAATTCAATTCAATTCAATTCAATTTCAATTCAATTTCAATTTAAAGGCTTTATTGGCATGGGAAACGCGTGTTAACATTGCCAAAGCAAGTGAAGTAGATAGTAAACAAAAGTGAAATAAACAATAAATATTAACAGTAAACATTACACTCAGAAGTTTCAAAAGAATAAAGACATGTCAAATGTGATATTATGTCTATTTGTGTTGTAACAATGTGCAAATAGTTAAAGTACAAATGGGAAAATAAATGAACATAAATATGGGTTGTGTTTACAATGGTGTTTGTTCTTCACTGGTTGCCCTTTTCTTGTGGCAACAGGTCACAAATCTTGCTTCTGTTATGGCACACTGTATTTCACCCAGTAGATAAGGGAGTTGATCAAAATTGGGTTTGTTTTCGAATTCTTTGTGGATCTCTGTAATCTGAGGGAAATATGTGTCTCTAATATTGTCATACATTTGGCAGGAGGTTAGGAAGTGCAGCTCAGTTTCCAGCTGATTTTGTACATTTGCCCACTGACAAAGAAATTATCAGTCTATAATTTTAATGGTAGGTTTATTTGAACAGTGAGAGACAGAATAACAACAAAAGATTCCAGAAAAACGCATGTCAAAAATGTTATAAATTGATTTGCATTTTAATGAGGGAAATAAGTATTTGACCCCCTCTCAATCAGAAAGATTTCTGGCTCCCAGGTGTCTTTTATACAGGTAACGAGCTGAGATTAGGAGCACACTCTTAATCTCAGTTTGTTACCTGTATAAAAGACACCTGTCCACAGAAGCAATCAGTCAATCAGATTCCAAACTCTCCACCATGGCCAAGACCAAAGAGCTCTCCAAGGATGTCAGGGACAAGATTGTAGACCTACACAAGGCTGGAATGGGCTACAAGACCATCGCCAAGCAGCTTGGTGAGAAAGTGACAACAGTTGGTGCGATTGTTCACAAATGGAAGAAACACAAAATAACTGTCAATCTCCCTCGGCCTGGGGCTCCATGTAAGATCTCACCTCGTGGAGTTGCAATGATCATGAGAATGGTGAGGAATCAGCCCAGAACTACACGGGAGGATCTTGTCAATGATCTCAAGGCAGCTGGGACCATAGTCACCAAGAAAACAATTGGTAACACACTACGCCGTGAAGGACTGAAATCCTGCAGCGCCCGCAAGGTCCCCCTGCTCAAGAAAGCACATATACAGGCCCGTCTGAAGTTTGCCAATGAACATCTGAATGATTCAGAGGAGAACTGGGTGAAAGTGTTGTGCTCAGATGAGACCAAAATTGAGCTCTTTGGCATCAACTCAACTCGCCGTGTTTGGAGGAGGAGGAATGCTGCCTATGACCCCAAGAACACCATCCCCACCGTCAAACATGGTGGTGGAAACATTATGCTTTGGGGTGTTTTTCTGCTAAGGGGACAGGACAACTTCACCGCATCAAAGGGACGATGGATGGGGCCATGTACCGTCAAATCTTGGGTGAGATTCCCTCAGCCAGGGCATTGAAAATGGGTTGTGGATGGGTATTCCAGCATGACAATGACCCAAAACACACGGCCAAGGCAACAAAGGAGTGGCTCAAGAAGAAGCACATTAAGGTCCTGGAGTGGCCTAGCCAGTCTCCAGACCTTAATCCCATAGAAAATCTGTGGAGGGAGCTGAAGGTTCGAGTTGCCAAACGTCAGCCTCGAAACCTTAATGACTTGGAGAAGATCTGCAAAGAGGAGTGGGACAAAATCCCTCCTGAGATGTGTGCAAACCTGGTGGCCAACTACAAGAAACGTCTGACCTCTGTGATTGCCAACAAGGGTTTTGCCACCAAGTACGAAGTCATGTTTTGCAGAGGGGTCAAATACTTATTTCCCTCATTAAAATGCAAATCAATTTATAACATTTTTGACATGCGTTTTTCTGGATTTTGTTGTTGTTATTCTGTCTCTCACTGTTCAAATAAACCTACCATTAAAATTATAGACTGATCATGTCTTTGTCAGTGGGAAAATGTACAAAATCAGCAGGGGATCAAATACTGTTTTCCCTCACTGTATATGTTGAAGAGGGTGGGGCTTAAACTACATCCCTGTCTCACCCCACGGCCCCGTGGAAAGAAATGTGTGTGTTTTTTGCCAATTTTAACTGCACACTTGGTGTTTGTGTACATGGATTTTATAATGTCGTATGTTTTTCCCCCAACACCACTTTACATCAATTTATATAGCAGACCCTCATGCCAAATTGAGTCAAAAGCTTTTTTTAAATCAACAAAGCATGAGAAGACTTTGCCTTTGTTTTGGTTTGTTTGTCTGTCTCGCTCTTATTTTGCTCTCTCTTGCTGCCCTAGGCTCTGGTTACTGTGAGGAGAACGGTCACAGAAGTCTCAGTTTCTAAACAGTTGAAACAAACCACATCAGCCCATGTTTCATCCCTACAGCCTTTGGGGCATTTACAGTGTGAGCAGAGTGGTAAAGCCAATCAAACAACTCATTAGCAAGTTATAATGACAACTCTGTGAGAGTGAAAAGGTACATGGTACTGCCATGTGAAAACAAGAGAGATCCAATTGACACATAACATGTGTGCATGCCACAAGTACACACACACACACACACACACACAGAGACCCCCCCACCCCCCCACAACACATACACCACTCACTCAGCTCAGTTCCCTCTGCATTTGAAACATTAGCTTGATGGCGTCAGAGCTGATGTGATGGTAGTGCATCAGAGAGAAATGCAGAGAGGCGGTGTGTGTGTTGACTACTGAGGGCCCCAGCCCCTTATGCTGATGTGGGGAGAATGAAAGAGATGCTATGGTGCCACTGCTGACGCAGTCTCTGTAGAGACAGACAGAGCAGAATGTCAGAGAGAGAGAGAGAGATCGAGAGAGGGAGGGAAAGGGGGAAAGAGGGAGAGAGGGGGGGGGGGGGGGGGGGGGGGGGGATCTGTGTTTGTTCTGTTCTACTGCAGTTCCGTTCTTCAATTATTCAACCGTCTCTCCCTTCCTCTTTCCCCCCAACTCTCTCTTTCTCAATTCAATTTCAATTTAAGGGCTTTATTGGCATGGGAAACATATGTTAACATTGTCATATCAAGTGAAGTAGATAATAAACAAAAATGAAATAAACAATAAAAATTAACAGTAAACATTACACTCACAAAAGTTCCAAAATAATACAGACATTTCAAATGTGATATTATGTCTATATACAGTGTTGTAACAATGTACAAATAGTTAAGGTACAAAAGGGAAGATAAATAAACATAAATATGGGTTGTATTTACAATGGTGTTTGTTCTTCACTGGTT